CCCCAAAACCCCAAAACCCCAAAACCCCAAAACCCCAAAACCCCATGAACGAACAGCTAAATTGATAAATCATTATTATTTTATAGGAATTCGGTTCACTCAGATTATCTAGTGCATTGAAACTGTCATTTTTGGAACTGACAGCTGAGGAGCTTTGCTAGAGACCATGCAAGAGCTGAATAAGCCTCAGACACTTGGTTTAGACAGCGAGCTTGATTGGAAATCGTATATTTTTAAACAAACTGCAATCTTTTCTGATTTAGATTACACCGATCAAAGGTTTGGAATGAAAATAATGCTTGAAAAGGTGATCTCCTAAGGTTCATTGATCTTGTACTTCATTTAGTAAAATGTTATTCTCATCAATTGATGAACTGCTTGATCTCAGAGCAAATGTTATTAATTAAACGAAGATATAACCTCTCAAAGCTCCCGCTCTTAGCCCAACCCATAGTAACTTTCCATCAAAGAAGCTTTCTTTTTCCAAGCTAGTCTATTTACAGCTGTTGCTAAGTTTAAAAATTTTCCTTTTGATGGGAATTTGGCTGAATGAATAGAAATTCTGGAAATAAAGTAGACTAATGACTTAAAAATGACAGATCAACCTATCTGCTGAGACTCTAGCCTCTGCAGGTAGGTTGACCGGCGAATATTTCCTCGTTAGAGGCCTTCTGACCAAGAAATATGAAATTCACAAAGCCCAAGATTATCAATATAAACCTAATCAAAATGCAAAGAATAATTACTTATTGGTCAGCAAGACTTCTTCTCTCTAGCAGCAGTTACTCTTCTTTGTCTCTGGCTCCTTCTCGTCCTTCTTGGCATTTAGAGTGAGAGAAGTGGCTGTGCCGCCCATCATGAAGTTCTCCTTAGTGCCCTTCCTTTTCTTTTCCTGGACGAACCTGGTCTGAATTTCTGAAGCCATTGTTGTGAAAGTATCGTCAACATGAGTAGCGTTCTTAGCAGAGACTTCTAAGAAAGGAATGTCAAATTTCTTGGCAAGCTCAACGCCTTCGTCATAAGTCACTTCTCTCTGCTCTTCGAGGTCGCTTTTGTTACCAACGAGTAGTTTATTGACATTCTCACTGGCAAATTTCTCGATTTCCTGCATCCATTGTCTCACATTATCAAAGGAGTCCTTATTGGTAACATCATAAACGATGATAATGCCGTGAGCTCCTCTGTAGTACGAACTTGTTAGAGTTCTGAACCTATCCTGACCAGCTGTATCCCAGATCTGCATCTTGATAACCTGGTCGTTGAGGGAAATAGTTTTGATCTTAAAATCAACACCAATGGTGTTGAAGAAATTCTCGGTGAAGGAATTATCAGCGTACCTCATTAGAATACAGGACTTGCCTACACCAGAGTTACCTATAAGTAACAGCTTGAATAGATATTCGTAATCTGGTCCTTCAGCTGCAGCGGTGTTCATCTTAGTTAATATTCTTATATTATTCAAAACATTTCGTATTTTTAGGGGTTTTGGGGTTTTGGGGTTTTGGGGTTTTGGGGTTTTGGGG